GATAGGAATAACTAGTAGTAATATCCTCAAGAGTAGTAAACCATTAAGGTATAACACCTTTAGGGAGTTTGTTTAGTCTGGGAGAAATATGATGTTAATGTAATAAATATAAATTATCATAGGTGGTAAGTTCATTGAGAAAGAGAAGTTTGTGATATCTAAGTTGTTTTTTAAAGACAGGGTATTTATGATGAGATGAAAGAAGAGATTTCAGAAAGATAGTTTCATCTTGTAAAGTGTAAAGAATGTTATAAGTTGGATTAATTGAGAATGTTCAACTAATATGTTTAATAAGTTGTATAATTTTAAAGTTTGTAGTTAAGTGGTTAGGACTATTAATAATTGGGTTGAAATAAGAGAAAATACTGATTGCTAATATAGAACTAGTAATAGTCTGTAAATATAATTTTAAATTATATTATATCAAAAAATTAGATCTTAATAAAATAACTAATAGTATTATCAGATTTCAAAAAAAAATAAAAAAATAAAAAAATAAACAAAATAAATATCTAATAAAATCTCTCTAAATATTTATCTTTAAAACTAATTAATAATATATATTTAAAAAGGATATATATTTATAAAATTAGTATTTATTTTTATTTTGTTACTTAATTAATAATATTTTAAGACTTTTTGATAATTTGTTATGTTAATTTATTATTTATATTAACAGAATATCTGTTAAATTTATTATTTTAATTAATAAATATTTATTTTAATCATATATATATTTATAAAAGATGCTTAAATAGATTTAAACTATAAAAATATTAAATTTAAGCTTAAAACTAAGCTTTAATGTATACTTAAAAGAGATGTATGCTTAGAGTAAATACATTTAGAAAGGTTATACTATATTATCAAATATATATACAGTGTATATAATTTAATAATTTGGCATAAATTAAGTTTTTTATATAATATTATTAAAAATATTAACAAATTAATAATATGTTACTTACAATTAATAATAAAAATAATTATTAACTGCTCAAGTTTTAAGAGTTTTATATATTTTACTAAAAAAATAAAACTTTAAGCTTTCAATTATAAAATAATAATAATATACTAATTAAAATTTAAAGAATTTAATTAGTAATATATAATTAGGATTGTTTTTTGGATCAATTAGAATATATCAAATTGACCAAAAAGCAACACTACACATAACAAAAAATATTATTATATATAATTGAATATCAATTGCATATTATTATTATCAAAATTTTTAGAAATTTTGTCAATAAGTAATGCTGTATAATTGAAGGTCCAAAATCTTATTTTTTCTTAACAATTCTTATGTGTAAGCAACAAATTTTGAAAATAATAGAATTAATTTAGGATGAAAGTTAAAGATAAGATTTTCAAATTGATCTGAAATCAAACAACCTAACGGATAAGTTATCATTAATAAATAAACTTAAAAGTGCACAAAATCTTTTTCATAAAATTATTAAATTTGTCAAAAGTAAATTCGCATTTCATACAAATTTTTTGTAATAATACTTCAACTAATTACATTAGATTGAGCATCTCCAAATCACCAAGAGAAAACTGCATATGAATATCTTTATTATCCCCTTCTATAATCTATTTTTGCATTATTTCATATAATTATTTATTGGAAAATATAAGAGGAATAACAAGCGAAATTATTGTATCTTTTTTTAAATTAAAAAATTTATAATATCCACATTAGAAATTAAAGATGAATAAACCCGAATTTTAAAAATTAAAATAAACGATCTTTTAACTTCACTATCCTGTGGCATACCATCAGATTATGCAATTATTCCAATTACGATTACATATCCTAGTTATATTACAATTAATCTGCACACTTATATACATAGTAAAATATTTAATGCCCAAGTTAGTTTGACGCTAATACTTTATGTTTGTAATGTTACTAAATCATTTTAACGATCAGATGCAAAACGAAGAATTTTTTGTGGATCTGCACCAGCCAATCAGAGGGTTCGCTTGTTTAAATTTTGAACAAACATAGCAACTTTATCAACTTCTTATAGATGCAATATTTTAAAAAACTGCCTGGTAACTTTGTAGAACAAAGTTACCGGGCAGTTTTTTGAAATATTGCCATTATAAAAAGTTGTTGCTGTTTAAACTTCTATGTTTTCCTTGTCACATGATTGTCGGATATAGGCTTCCAGCACCATAATTGCTTCTAACCATTTACAGTTAAAATTTAACGAGTTATTACATAATAAACTAAATAAACCACGTGCGTACGACGTCAGTATGAAGCAAGAAATCTACGAATCATAATCTATCGTGTAACTTGATTATACGTACGTTACATTAAAGAGTTGATTTTTAGAATTTCTACCCATGTATAATTTGTATAATTATATACTGTAGCACATTTAAATCAATTTCTTAAATAATCGACTTCAATAAAGTTACGTAACAATTATTGTTATTTTTTATGGGCTGTTTGAAACGTATTACTACTCATGTGTAACGTATTACAGTATAAAATGTTACATAACGAAGATCAATTGTCGATTTCTAAAAAGTTGCTTGTAATTTCTCATGGCATCAAAAATATTCACGGGCGATATGCCCGAATTAATGGAAATTATTCTTAATAATTTAAATAATGAATTTGATTCGTTATACTCATGTGCACTTGTAAACAGGCATTGGTGTAAAATTACAATTCCTATTCTTTGGCAAGATCCACTTTCATTTGATAAAAATCCAACGTTCATATCTAAATATTTTTCATCACTCGACAACGATGGAAAAGATATCTTAAAAGAATGCGGCATAGTTTCTGATTTTCCCGAAACTATTTTTCGTTACGAAACATTTTTAAAAGTTCTCAATTTTTCTTTTCTGGATATTAGAGTTGAAGAATGGATCTATTATCAACCTTTTAATCGGCAAAAGAATATCTATCAATTAAAATGTTATATAGTTAATTTATTACTTAAAATATTTATCAAGGGAGGTGTCACTTTATCTAGATTGGACTTGTATGTTTCTGACGATTATGCTGAAATTAAATCAGAGATCTTTTACTTGTTAGAGCTAAATGTACACTTTCTTTCGAATCTTCGTGTCCTATTTGTGGAAGTACTGTCTACTCCTTACACCGAAAGGGCTATCACACTGTTAAAAATCTTGGCAAAAAATGCTACGAAAATTACTGAATTGAAGATCGATTCGTATTATTTTGGTTATAATATACAACTATATCACGTATTTATAAGCATTATTAAATCACAAGAACGTCTTAGATGGTTCAACTTTCTTGGAGTTGATGAAACATCCACAGAATTTCATGGTGTCATTTTAGCCTTAGAAAGTCAAAAAAAGGGATTAAAAGAAATTCTAATAGATTATTGTTCATATAATGCAGAGTTTAAAGTGCTAAAAGATTGTGAAAACTTGGAAGTTGTCCGTATCTCATATTGTGAAAACGAAGAAAAAATATTAAAATCATTAAATATTAATAATTGTAATATCAGCACTTTTGAAATAAGTTCTTACTACTCAATTGATGCATCGAATATAATACAAATATTAGAAAAATCTGGATCTTTATTACAACGACTTAAACTTAACTCACTTGGGCAAGAAATTTATTCACAATCATTATTACTAGAAACTCTTATGACATTCTGTCCAAACATTAATTATCTTTATATTTCAAGTATTAAACTTTGTACACAATTTATAAAGTTTATTAGCAATTTACAAAGACTTCAATTTCTTACCTTAAGCTGGACGGGTTGTGAGTCCAAACAAGCAACTAAAGCTTATATTATGCGCTTGGCAGAAATATTTCCACAAACATTACAATATCTTGATCTAAGGAATATTTTGTTAGATTCGAACATTGATATTTTGCTAAATCATTGTGATGCACCTTTAAAAAAACTACTATTCGATTATGATCATAATTATGAAGAAAAAATAGATGCAATAATCAAATTCTGTATACGAAAAAAGACTTTGAATGGTGTAAATGTAATTGGATGTATGGATGGTATGTTTGCGAAGAGATTTGAAAACTCAAACGTATCTAACTTTTGTTGGAATAGAATTAAAAAAGATTTAGAAGGATATGTTAAATTGGTGCCATATGAATCTATTGTTGTTGATATTCTTTGAAGTAGGCTTAGTACTTATGATATTTTTATTTATTTTATAAATATTCGTAATTAAAATTTCCTAAATGTAGTATTAATTGATGTTCACTTTTTTATAATATTACCTTAGAATGCACTATTCTTATAAAAAAATTTTGTTATACCGAAATATTTTAAAATTTTTAAATTAATATAATTTTGTATATCTCTATGTTGAAGGACTAATGATGTACCCTTGCAAAAGATGATATCATCTTCGCGCAAATTGCATCATATTATTTAGTGATTTATCAAATATAAAAGGATCAGACCCATCACCTCCGCCAAGCTCGAAATTTGAGGTCATCTCGCATTTGTGCTAAGTCATTATTTGTAGAATGATGCTAGATTTATCTCGTGCGAGGTAAATCTCTATGAAAGACTAAAAAGCATTGAAGCAATTGTCAAGATTTCTTCTAATCTAAAAAATACAGACTTTTTGGTGAGCGAAATGTATGGCTGAGTGCCTTGATTGCATCAATAAAGTTCTATAAATTTATGATACACGTATTACCTTTTGTTATGCCCCATGTGTAATTAGTGCTTACATTTTCATCTTTGATGTAACGAAAGAAACAACCTAAAACTTACGTGACACGAACTATGCACTGTAAACGTGACATCGACTCGTGTAACAGGTTAACGTAACCATTAAAAAAATTTCATCTCGTCAATCTACTATCACTATCAATAATCATGGCTACAAAATTAAGAACACCAGATCAGATTTCATTCTACGCACGTTCACTTTACCGTCGATTATGGAGAGCAGGTGAAGCTTCGGTTCTATATTCTCGTCCAGCGGTTAAATATGTACATCAAAGAATTCGTGAAGGATTTGAAGAGTATCGACATGAAGTTGATAAAAGAATTTTAAATGACCTTTTTGAACGTGGTACTTTGTTGCTTCTTTGTTTTATTGTCACAATTTTCAATTTCTCATGATTTTTATAAAACAAAAAATAAGCTGAGAATACAATAGAATTTTTAAAAACTTCAAGTCGCAGAAAAGGACTTGAACATAGAGTTATATATACTTTATGCCAAATGACATATATCGAAAATGAATATAAAAAAAGGTTTTCTTTTCTTTAGTTGACAATATTTTTTTATGATTATTGTAATATTGATTTGATTTAATATTCTCTGATTTAAATAGACCTCCATACCATAGTAAAAGATTAAAGCCAGCTTTATGGATATATCATCAACAAAGTTATGATGAATATTATAGAACTTTAACAATGATGAATGACAGTTTGAAATTATGTTTAAGATAATGATAAACAAGATGAATTATCTTCATTGTTTTTTTTTAATAGAATTTGACAACCATTAATATCTAATCGAAAAGGTTCCTTTTATAAGAATCTACATTTAAAACTTCGCATATGATGTATATGCCTATCCGCATGGAGGATGTTACATACAAGTTAGTCTATTAAGGAAAGTATGAACTATGCTGGTCGTGGTCATAATTTCAATAAATCATGGCTCATCTTTCTAATATATACTATTGATGGCTGTCAAAATAATAAGATATATCAACTGCTGTGTCTGCATACCTTAGAATTTGATATTTATGTTTGTAGTGTTATTTGATTATGGATGGCTCATGATTTATTAATGGAAAGTGTACAGTTAGAATCTTTACAGTACTAAAAACAATTTATAATATCAAAAGCAATGAGTAAGAATGTAATTTTTACTTATCACTAAATGGAATAGTAAGACAATTATAAATTTACAGTTTTTTAAAAGATGGTTATTCTCTGTCGATATCTAATTTTACCTACAGGGCAGAGATGTAAATTGTAAATTTTATAAAAAACTTGTAGTATTTTCTATTCTTTTTAAATTTTAACAAAATTTATTAAGTAAATTATTTTGGCTATTAAGCAAAATTATAGAGTAAGCTCTTCTGATTTTAATAATAATAATATTATTAAAATTGGTTAAAAATTTGTTGAAATATGAATATTTAAATTTGGATATTAAAAGTTGGTTACAAAAAAATTATATAATGATTATATAATGTTATTAACCAATTTAAATTAATTATTTTGTGTAATTTTAAGAATTTTGTGCTTATAAAAAGTTTAAGTTTATATAAAGGTTAAATTATATATATATATTTAACTTGGCAGTGATTGTGGTTTTTATTTAATTTTAATAAGTAAAAAAAACTTTTATTATATATTTACAAAATTATTTTATTATTTAATTTTAGACTATGTAATTTAATACACATTGTTAATTTTTTATAACATCTACTGCATATTTTATATGTTATAATATTAAGTTAATACTTATAATCAGAATTTCTAATTAATGTTTTTTTAATATTAATAATAAAGTTATGCTTTTATCTTTATTTTTTATTTATTTTTTTTAACTTAAGTAGTTATGTTAGTACTTTATTAGAATTCTTGATACTATACAGATTACAGTGAATTTTCCTAATACTTAAGTTTAGCATTACCTAGTTACCTTATTGGTATCTAAATGTGACCTGTTGCATTATCCCAAACAGAGGTAGACTGCTTATCTGACTGTTGTCTTACAATAGAATATCATTAATCTGATAACATCTTCTCATAAAGAAACAAAAAAAATAAAAAAAATATATTAAAAAAACAAAGATATAGAAGTAAATAATAAAAGATACAAAGCAAGAAATAAAAGAAAGGAAGGAAATAGATAAAAAAAGAAAAGTGTAAAACTTGAAATTCACAAAAAATCAAACAATCATGTTTTAAGTTAGTGTTAGGTGTAATATATGCAATTTACAGATATCAGACAATTACAATTATGAGTCTGTGTTAGATTATTAAAAATTATAAACTATACTAAATAAAAATTATTCTACTATTTTTTTATTTATTTAAATTATTTAACAAAAAGCTATAAAGAATAAAAAAACTTTGATTTTATTATAGAGGATCAGTATAGGGTACTGGTTAGTTCAAGAACAGTATTTAATAGGTTTCCAGCAGCTTAAAGTATGTGTATAGTCATATTAATATTACTGTATTATTTCTGATTTATGTTATTAACAATTCTGTTTAGAAAATAAATATTGCTAACTGTTTTGATGATTTTACACATCAATTTTTAAGAAAAAATAAACTGAATTATTCACTTTTACAAAATTTTCCTTAAAAAAAAGTGGAAGTATTAAATGAACTAACTTTTTAGTTTCTGTAAGTTCTTAACTCTTGTAAATGTCTTTTGAGTTTTTACAATTGTATAGAACTAATATATTTAATTTTGTTGTTTATTTAATGAGAAACTTTGGCTTTTATTAACTACTTCTTCTATAGTTTCAGAGTACTCTTTAAACTAATACCACAAGGCTGTGACATTTTTTCAACTCTATTTTAATATTCAACAATATATATACAGTACTTCAAAAAGGTTTTATAAAGTTTAATATATTAATATATCATTTTCTATAATTTGGCTTTTTAGAAAATTTTGTTCAAGTGATTGTCAAAAAAAGTTTTTTTGTTTTTATCTTTATTGAATATTAAATTGAGATTTTACATAAAGTATAATTCTACTTTTAAAATATTATAAAAAGAATGGAAGTTCAAACTAATTTATCTGTGATATAAACTAACAAGAGTAGTTAGAACTTATCTAAATTTGTATGTAATAATTATATATAAAAAATTAGTTTGTTATTTGATTTATTGGATATATCAAAAGTTTATTTTTAAACTAATAAAATTGAACAAAAAAGAATATAATGCAAGTAAAATAAGGTTTAATAATAAGTTGTATTTAGAAGATTGAGTTGTAGGTTTTAAGATACAATAAGAAATCCAGATTTTATAATAAATTTGTTGATTAATATAAAGTATAAACTTTATAATAAGTGTTGTAATTATTTTTTTGAATAACAAACTTGCAATAGTATCAATAAGTTTATTTGTTATTAGACCTGTTAAAGATGAAAAGATTAAAGATATATCTAATATACTATGAATAATCATATTATTTAACAGCTTAATTTGATTATGTAAATTAACTATAGAATTTGGTATAGTATTAAGTAAGTTAGTATTAAAAATGTATTATAATAAACTATCTATAAGGCTGTATGGTAATTAATTAACTAAACAGATTGTTTAGTGAATTAGTAACAAATTAATAAATATAAGTAATATTTTTTGTAAAAATATATGGAGTAGAAAGATTATTTAATAAGATTTTAATTTTTAAAAACTTAAAATTAAAGAACTAAAAACTGTGTAAGAAGTTTAAGATTTTTTAATTATTATTGCTATACAGTCATGTTGCTTGTTAATAAACTTGGTTAAGGATTTTGTATTATTTTTGAAAGTGGTTTTGTATAATCCATAATACATAAATATGTACATGACATATTGTACAGATACTGTGATAAATGGGTAGTTCTAAGAAAAACTTTTCAAATTTTAAAATATATACAGAATTATAAATATTATAAAACATAAAGGTAAGATAAAACAAATTATAATAATTGTATACAAGCTGATCTACAAGTTTATTGTACTGGTTATCTTGGTGAGCAGTAACTTTATAAAAAATAATATAAATGTTGTATGATTTAATAAAATTAATAAATATATTTTATCATGAGAAATATGACATATATGTATAAGATAAAGTATAAACTGAGTTTGAAAGACTGTAATATTTGGAAATTACAGATTATAAATTAGTATATATATGTATATTATAGTTTATAGAGACAGTAATAAGAGCTAATAAGATAACAGTAAACTCAAATTTAAATGAGTAAAACCAGTATCTTGTTTGGGCTTGAAATATATATAAGATATTATTGTTTAAAATTTGGGCCTATCTAATACCCATAAAGCAATATGATATACCTAAGTTGCTAACAGAGCCATCTGTACAGAAATAAAATTCTGATAATTGTATATTGTTGTTAGCAATTTGGTGAAGGTTTGTTAAAATATTAGATTTAAAAATAGTTATAATTAAGTATATTGTAATGTTAATATTGAAAGAGTTAGAAATTTGAATAGGTGTTAAATTGCAATAGAGTATATGAGATCAAAATGATTGGTATTAAAGTTGAAAGTTTTATTATATATATTAACTTAACCAAAAAATCTTGTAGAAAAATTAATAGAAATATTGATTATGCATTTATTTACAATTTTATAAAGGTTAAGAGAGCAGACTAAACATGTTTATAATTGAATAAATAAAAATAAATAGAGACAAGTAAATTGTAATTTTATATAATATTGCTAATAAATAATAATAGTTTTTTTAAAAAAAGTTTGTTTTCTGGTTTTGACAATAATGATTTGATTATTAAGTACTATAATAAACTATAGTTTTTTATATAAAAAAAGTGTCAGTTAAATATCTATAATAATTTGTACTAGATAGGTATAAATGTTAATAGAGAGTATAATTGTATAAGTGACTTGTAATTTGGTCTTCTAGATAGTTAAACCAAAGTAGTTGTTTATCTTTAGAAATTTTGTATATATATAAAGATATATGTTTCCAATCTAAAAGATATAAGTTATCAAATGTAGTAAGTTGGTCTAAATAAAAAATACAATAATAAGAGTGTAATAACTTAGTGAAGTAATCAAGTTGTTGCATCTTAAGTAACAAGGTCTAAGGTTAAATTCCTGCTAATGATGAATATTGAATATTAAAATCTTATATGCCTTAATTAATATATTAACTTAATTAAAAATATTGGCTTATTGGCTGTAATTTGTAGTACAAAACCAAGTAAAGTTGATAACAGATTTGCAGTGATCTGTGTTATAGTGTCTATATCTGAAAGCTTATAACTATAAAAAGTTTCTGATTAGAAATACAAGTTGATATATATAGATATACCTTTGAACATTGTAACTAGTCAGTGTAAACACAAGATAAATCTATATTAGGTTGCAATAAATCTGTATTGAGAAATTCACAAAAACACTAATTAGAAAGACTATTTGAAAAGTCCTAAGTATAGTGTTCATACCCAAAAGCTTATAACTACAGAGAGTTTATAATTATAAATATAGAGAAATACAAGCTGATATATATAGATGTATCTCTGAATATTGTAAAATAGTTAGTAAAACACAAGATAAAACTATATAATATTAGTATAAACATGCAGAATAGGAATTGTATAGTTTCTTAATATTATTACTATATAAACAATAAACAAAAATATACACAAACTAATTATCTTTTATAAAAACATAAATGCAACTGCCATCTTACTAAAAAAAACAACTAATTG